ATGAGGATGCAGCCTGAGTCAACTACATTGCATCATGCTTAGAAATCGAGAGCGAATAATCTTATTGTTTTATAGTATAAATCTACTAATTCTTCAAAACATTATCTAAATTCTCTTCATTATCTAAATTCTCTAGTTGTTTAATAGATCAACACTCATGGAAGGTTGGGAGAACTTGAAAAAAGCTGCGGTCGGCTTGTGTTACCACAGTATTTCTCGTACTCCCAAAGTTTTACTCATGTTTGTATAACTCAATAGAAACATGGTACATGTTTTCTATTTCCTAAATAAATTATTATGCTCCAGTTATGTGTATCACGAAGCTGCTTTTCATGGTACTTAAAAATATTAACTTTGAAACCAATGGAATGTCTGTCATCTTATTACAGATACTGTTCCAGTTACTGAAATAATTCCTAATAAAGGATCCACAAAGGTATTTTTGAACCATTATTTAATAGAACAAAGGAGGAACAAAAATACTCTTTCTTGAATCATTGCTCAGGTCTTGCAAAATTACCTGACAGAGGTGTGATAAAAGAAAATCGCTCAAGTACACATTTTTAAAAAGCACATGTTTAAAATATATCTCTAAATTCAGGCAATGTAATGATGCCTATTGAAAACACGTGGCCATGCATTGTCTCATTGTCCCTGGCAAACAAAAAAAGCTGAAGCAAAATATGGCTTAAATTCAAGCTAGATTTTACACCTCTAAAATCATTTTACACAGAACACCAACTTTTATTAGGATCAAAACTGTTTCTTTTTAAAGTCAAAACTGTTGATGTAGTGACTAAGGTAGAGGGCTGATGGTGGTTGTGAAAATGTGCCAGAGGTCATCCATTTGGTGCAAAAATATTCATGGGTATTTGTCCGCGGACATTATCTGAACATTCTAAGAAGCAAACAGTTTTCTTAGAGCGTAGCTCAAGGAAAACTGTGAGCGTTTTCCTAGAGCGTAGCTCAAGGAAAACTGTGAGCTTTGAGAAACAGATAATGTCCAATGACAAATATCCGAGCATATACATATATTTTCATGCCAAATGGAGGCTACATTGTGTTTATTATCCTTCAAATATTTTTCACAACATGTGCAGTTTTGAAAATTGGGGAATATCCCCGGATATTCTCCAGTTTTAGCTGGGGATTATTTGGTCGCATGATGTGTTTAGACCAATCACGCGAAAGCAAAAATATTTGATTGATTATAATGACTAATACCGCAGAGTGTTCTAAAAATTATTGAAAGGTTTGGTATTAATTGAAAAAGTCCTGAACAGGCCAGATATAATTCCAAAATAGAGAAGTTCAGAGTTAGCCTTAATTTCTCTCAAGCATCCAATCATTGCCTGGAAATTCGGTGAGAAAATTTAATTGGTTTCTAAATGGGCATGAAATTTTGTTCTATTCTTGAAATCATGGGATTTAAATGTTTTTATGATTTTGAATTAATTTTGTTTGAGTTAATGTTTTAACTCTTATTTGATAATACATCATTGTTGATGTAGAATTATTCCCATTTTCTGTAAACAGGGTGGA